ATAAAGGTTAAATAAATTAACTAAGAAGAGATATATTCTAATTTTGAGAGACATTCAAGTCTTGAATTTTTTTCTTTTTTAGGATTATGAGAGCTGTGAGCGGAATCTTGCTTTGGATGACAAAGTCTTTGATGAAAATTTAGAAACAGTTGTTGAAGAACTGACTAAACTCCAAGAAGAAGAAAGAACAGCAACAAAGGCAAAAGTGGTGTTAACTGCTCAAGTAAAACGCATGAATGTAATTGACAGCACTGAGAAGTCAGTGGCTCCTGTAGATGCCGAAACATCTAAAAATAACTGTGCCTTATTTCCACAAAACGGTAAATCTGAGATGTCTGAGAGTTATGACTCCAAGTTATGGTTTGCTGAGGCTTCAGGCACTTCTGCTGATCTGATATCAAAACACGTCCAAGACATCCAGGAATCTTACCTTACAGACTCGTCAGCAAGTGAAAAGAATACCAGCACACCAGTTTCTTCACAAGCAACACCAGACAAGTCTTCAAGTACGGACATCAGTGAGAATGTTGACCCACTATACTCATGGAATCCACAATATCGAAGCAGCGAGCTTCTCTCAGAGAAGGATATTGAGGCTTTGATGCAGTCGTGGAATGTGAAAACCAAAATTATCAAGCTTGAAGAGAAACAGCAGACTGACATGCATTCCAAACAGGACGGGAACAAAAATGCCAATTCCCGGCACTCAGTAGGTGCCTTATCAACTCCAAATAAGAGACCATTTGTGTCAACCTCAAGATCTGCTAACTTTTTGAGCAAATACACTTTGGACAATGTGGACAATGTGGAAGACGCACCTTCTCTTAATAGCACGCATTCACCACCTAAAAACCTGGCTCCAAATGGGTTTTCAACTGGTAAGTAAAACAGTGCACCCATACATTACATTATATATATAATATACATACATACATACAACATATATATATATATATATATATATATATGAAAAATTTTTCTCAGAGTTAACCTGTAAAAAAAGACAATATTTATAAATGTAAAAGACAATAGGAAAACTGTAATAGTTGCCAACATGTTTCGTCTGATGTGAACTTTCTCAAGGCAAAATGAAATGAATTTATTAAACAAAGTAACTAATAATAGCAAAACAAAATGTCCTTAGCAACTTGAAGAATTTAGAGAACGCTATTTTCATACTGCTTTCCTATTGTCTTTTACATTTTATATATATATATATATATATATATATATATATATATATATATATATAAAGACATATAGTTTTAAGGTGTACTATATTTATGGGATAAAGTGCTCAATACCAGAGATAGAGCATATGTAAATATAAATATAAAAGTGAACATTGAAGTCAACACTTAGAAGCGAGAGGCTCTTTCATGGTAGATGCAATCATGATTGCGTCTAGCATGAAACAGCCTGTCACCTCTGAGTGTTGACTTCAATGTTCACTTTATATATATATATATATATATATATATATATATATACACATATGGGTAAAAATCTATAGGTAAGTAATCCAAGTGAATCCTAATAATATAAAATATTAAAACTGATCCACAAAGGAGAGCTCAATGTATTTATTATAGAGCATAGAAATAAATTACATAAAAATGAAAATCAGTTTTACCCCATTTATATGGCCATTTCACTCCTAGAGAGAGAAATTCCTTGGTGCTTGTCAATACTAAAAAGTTTGATTTATTTTAATTCTTCTTTTATTTAATTACTAATTTTAATTATTCATGTTTTTCTTGTTTATATACTAATAATGTCTAAAATTTTTTTTATTATAATATTAAATTCTTTTGTATAATATTAAAATTGAATAATAATATTAATATTAAATTCCAAAATTTCTTTAATCTACTATCTTAAAAACTCTTTCTTAACTTTAAACATTGTATTTTATTATATGAAATTTTTTTCCTATTTAAACAAGAGTTAACATTTTAAATATAGGTCATTGTTAATCTTCAACCATTTTTAACTTCTTTCTAGACTTGTATATGTTTCTGTCTTCCTATTCCCCCTCCTACTTTGGTTTTACTTTCCATTTTTTTTCTCTCTCTCTCCCTCTTAAATGCCTTTTTTCTTACTAAGATTTTCTTCCTCTTTCTTCCGATCCTTTTTCATCTTCAATTTAAAAAAAAAAAACGTTACAATTCATTTTTTTATCAAACTTTTTAGTATTGACAAGCTCCAGGGAATTTCTCTCACTAGGAGTGAAATAACCGTATAAATGTGGTAAAACTGAGTTTCATTTTTATGTAATTCATATATATATATATATATATAAATATGCAGATATGTAGAAAAATAGGAAAGAACATGTTAGGTAAATAATTTGGAGTTCTTTAGTATTTTTGTTTTTATTTTTAAAAAACAGTGCTCCATACATAAGTAGAGCTTAAATTATAAAGTAATCATATTTTTTTAAAAATAATTATATATATATATATATATATATATATATATATATATATATATATCTTGATAGATAGATAACCAACTCCAGAAAAAAAAATCAAATTAACAAAAAAATCAAAATAAATGAATAAACAAATTAAGTAAATAATAAAAAAATTGACAAACTATGAATGCATACATAAACACAAGCAAATTTAACAATAATAATGGTCAATAACAAATAATTAAGTATTTAATAATAAATAATGAGTAAAAAGTTAAGAAACAACACTACAAAATAGCTACAAATCAACGCATTTAGATCCACAATTATTTTTACTCGTAAGCCCCTAGAATGATTTGAAACATAACCATTACCACCCACACAATAACCATCAGGATAATAGAATAGACCTTACTACCCATAATGCACCACTGACCAGCATATATAAATAGCCAAGCCAACACACAATGTAGATTACATGAAGAGTTCAGGCATGAAACAGACTCTAGCTGTTTGTTGTTTGTCTGTTGCTGACCTCAGTCTACTTTTTATATATACATACACTCTATCCCTAAATAAATATAACATACCATAAAACAATATTTTTACTATATATATATATATATATAAGAAAAAAGGAAAATTTTTGTTTTCAAATGCCTTTTATCCCTTGAGGAACTTTATCATTTTTATTACCTTGATAGGGACTAAACACATTTGGTATAAAAAAGTTTTCTTTTTGTCTTTTATTTATATTGTCTTTTCAGATATATTTTATTTTTATCTGAATTTTTACACACACACACACACACATATATATATATATATATATATGGGAGGGTGGCATTGAGGTCAACACCCAGCAGTGACAGTCTGTTTCATCCTTGTATGCAATCTCCAGGCCAGATATATATATATATATATATATAAACACAAGTGATAGAATTTTGGGAAATTAGAATATAGTAATTCATTGAGTCTAGAAGAATCCACAACTGGATGGTATTCAATACTCATGCAAGTATTCAGCACTATCTTGGGTCTCTTTTCTTCTTCATCACCAAGGCCCATTGGTACAGTTCGTATGACACTTGTGCTGTATTGTAACGGTCCGGGTTCAATTCTCAGTAGTGAATGCGCATTGCTGATGTGTTCCAAATAAGTCAAAACAGCCATCCAGTGCGTTTGTTCTGCATTCTGTTGTGGATTCTTCTAGACTCAATGAATTACTATATGTGTGTATATATATATATGTGTGTGTGTGCGTATGTATATGTATGTATATTGTATATGTTGGGCAATAAATGTTTCCCACAACCACTTTCCAAAATTTGACAAAATTACCAAACTTTATAATTTTTGGTGAATTGTTTCTTGGTTGAGCTGAGAATTTTCAGCACATGCTCAAATGTATATACATATATATATATATGTGTGTGTGTGTGCACACATGTGTATAGTCATGGTGATGATAATACTAGCCATTTACTTATTCGGAAACATTCAACATTCATTGAGTTTAGACTTGTCAATTAAAATTCACAAGATCTTTCTCTTAAAACAATTTTTCAGGAAAATAGGTTTCTCAAGTCCAGTTAGTGTTAACGCTTTTTCCTGTATTGATGGAGGCTCCCTTTCTTACGAGAATATATATATATATATATATATATATATATGCACACACACACACACACACACATGTACACACACACATATATATATATGCACACACACATACAATTATGTATGCACATACACACAAACACATGCACATATATACCATTATGTATACATGCACATATATGTGGATCAATAAGTTTGTAGACAGACAGCTGAATTTTGATCCAAAATGATCACTGTATAATATCCCATCTCTGTGTTTTATAGTAAAGCATTGGATTAAGTGCATTGACATTCAAGGCGTTTATGTTGACAAATATTTGTTGAGTAAAATAAATGATATTATTGTCATTAGGATATGGACATTTTTGTGTATGTATATATGTATGTATGTATATATGTATATTCATATGGTCACATATGAGTGGTTACAATGTTTGCTTTCCAGTCATAAGAACTGTGTTCAAATATCACTACAGTTGATTTATCATGGATGTTATTGGTCTGTGGAGGTGAAAGTGCTTGATTATTTCTTGTGAGTAAAATTGGGCAGATGAAACTGTTCAGAAGCCATCAATGGTTATGCTAACACAAAGTCACAAGTTATTGTGACTGAAGGTTTGAGCATGCTGGCCTTGTTCAAATTGCTGATCATGTCAGATTATGAAATCTCTCTGAGAAACTGTAACTAAAATCCACTCAACATGGTTGCCGTATAAACCACAGGTGGGGCTCTGTGACTGTTAAACAAAAACAAATGTGCCTGGGCCAGCATATTGGTTAGCTGCCCATGGAAAATAAGAATAGTCAGCCATTATATATGTATTCACACACACACACACACACACATATATATATATATATATATATATATATACACACACACACAAACACATGATATGTATATATTGACGGTCAAAATCTTGAATGATTTTTCCACATATTGTGGAGAGTTCCTTTAAAAAAAGGATATCTTATATGAATACATTGATTGTATGAGTTTTGTATGGGTCACACAATTTTCTTTTGTTTTTACTAAACTCCGATTAATTAGAAAATTTGATTTGGCCAAAAATAACAATAACATTACATTTTATTCAGTTGCTGACTTTGTGAATAACTGTCAACCAGTGTGTATTTACGTGTGTGTGTGTATGTGTGTGTCCCTGGGCACTTCATCCAAAATATGAACTTTACATTCTTGTGTCCAGTGTCTGTGACTGCCCTTCTACTGCCAATGTGGGTGTTTATATATCTATCTGTCATGCAGCTCTTTCTCACATATTGCATCCCATGTGTGGCTAGGCCAATCATGTCTGTCGGCAACTATGAGGTCACCTGTCTGGTTAACTTTGCACGTGACTTCTCTGGAGGACACTGAGTGCAAAGTCTATTCTATCATGATCTGGTGTGAAACATACTACGCAATATCAATAAACCTTTCTACACGTTGGCTGTGGCAAGGGATGTTAGGTAATTAAGTGGATCTCTTTGTAATGCCAAAATTACAGCTTCATTTATGCGGAGTTTTCAAAAAGTTCTCTAATTAAAGTTAGTGGTATTATATTGTAATATTCATTTTTCTATATGCTTTATAATTTAATTCAAAATTAGTGAAAAATAGCTAATTATCAAAATGAATGTGTAAGGCAAGCAAGATTTTTACAGGCCTGAAAAAAATTAATTTAAAATGTTGTTACAAACTCATTGAAAAATGTGCTATTTAAAAAAAAAAAAAATCATTTCACTCCAAGCAAGGTGATAGTGCAACTAGGATGAAAGAGAGAAAAAGAGTGAGGAGAAAGAGCAATAAAAGAACAGGCTTCAGGAAGACAGATGATG